GAGCGCAGTCTGGCTTCCAGTTGACCTAATGTAACACAACTATATAAATAAAAATGTAATGTTTGTTGTGGGATTAACATAACTCAAAAACCACTAGGCGAATTGAGACCAAATTTGGACACAATACACCTATCAGGCCAACCAGTGACCATCACTCATAAAAACACTGAAAAACACAGCAGAAGAGACTTAAAAAGCCAAAAAAAATATTAAAATTAATAATATTATTAAAATAATAATAATAATAATAATAATAATAATAATTAGAAATCCAGCACTGCAAAGCTAGGCTACTGTTCCTGAGTATGTGCTGTGGGTCATAGAAATATAATAATAATAATAATAATAATAATAATAATAATAATAATATAAAATAATAATAATAGAATAATAATAGAATCTATATAAATAAAAATGTAATATTAGTTTGTGGGATTAACATAACTCAAAAACCACTGGGCGCATTGACACCAAATTTGGACACAGTACACCTCTCAGGCCAATAAGTGACCATCACTCATAAAAACACTAAAAACACAGCAGAAGATTTAAAAAGTCAAAAAACAAAAAATACATTACAACGCATGCACAAAACAACCGCTGGGTTGCTGAGTTTGTTGACCGAAAGGTCGCAGGTTTGAATCTGAGGAGTAGGGTGAGCTCCAGCTGTCAGCCCAGCTTCTGCCAACCCGGTAGTGCAGTGGGTTTAACCACTGGGTTGCTGAGTTTGTTGACTGAAAGGTCGCAGGTTTGAATCTGAGGAGTGGGGTGAGCTCCAGCTGTCAGCCCAGCTTCTGCCAACCTAGCAGTTCAAAAGCATGCAAATGTGAGTAGATTAATAGGTACTGCTCCGGCGGGAAGATAAAAGTGCTCCATGCAGTCATGCCAGCCAAATGACCTTGGAGGCATCTATGAACACCGGCTCTTCGGCTTAGAAATGGAGATGAGCACCAACCCCCAGAGTCGGACACGGCTGGGCTTAATGTCAGGGGAAAACCTTTACCTTACCTTTTACTTTTTAACACATCATAATCCAGATAATTTAAAATAATTAATGTAAATGTGTTTCAAAGGGCTATGTGAAATCTATAAAAATGTAGGGCAGGCGTATCATTTGGTTTTGTGTGGGAGTTTTGTCTTGAAAAGAATCAGTTGATGTCCAAGTGACTGTAAGGGAAGGCTTAAACCTCTCTGGAGAAATCCCAGATCCAGCCACTTGGGTTTTTATGGTCTCTCTTTGCGTTATGTTGTCTCCAATAGAAGCAGGATGAATCGTGTGGAGCAATAAACAAAGATGTGATGTTGCTTCCATTACGAGACAGAATTATTTCCTCTTTTTGGTGTAAAGCTTTTGCAGGAGTTGGACAGAAACATCTCTGTGTTATATACCGTCATTTTTAATGTGTGCAATTCAGCTTATTTATTGCTGCAGAAGCTAAACTATCGCGGCCAGTAAAATAATTGTTTTCCTAATCTGTTCAATTCAGATGAACCGCGGTGCTTAACAACCAACGCAGAAATTGTAGCACCCTTAGAAAATCCACAGTCATCACACCACATTATTTTACCAAATAGCAATGAAATTGCTGCTGGCAGTGATACAAAGCATCGAGGGCAGAGGGATGGTGAGGCACATGTGTGCTGATTGCTGTGCCTTTTCTTTTCCATTAGAACGATGTTCAACAGAGGAATATGTGGCATGGATTGCTTCCCTTTTTATGAGACTATTTTCTGTTTCTTCCTTTGCCCTTTCTTTGTGATTTTTTTTAAAAAAATGAATGAGTTATAATAGAGGCAATTTTCAGATTGAGATGTTGGGTTTGTTAAAAATAATCATGGAAGGGAAGGTAAATAGATGAACAGAATTTTTGAAAAAGTAACATTTCTTTCCTCAAATAACATGCCCAACTATCCATTCAGTTCAGTATTAATCCCAGGCAAATCAAAGCTTTCCAGACCAAACAGTCCCTGAGTAGTTAGCAAGTCCCTGAGAGTGACAAAACTTTACATCTCACTGGAGTTACTCGATAGAGTTACAAGCTGGATAGACACAGGGAATGCCATGGATGAAGCTTATCTGGATTTCAGTAAGGCCTTCGACAAGGTCCCCCATGACCTTTTGGCAAACTAGTCAGATTTGGGCTAGGCAAAACTACATTTAGGTGGATATGTAATTGGTTAAGTGAACAAACCCAGAGCAGGGCTGTAATAATCCACACCTGGAATCACACTGTGCCCATGGTTTAAGTGTGATGACGACAAGCTGGAATGTGTCCAGAGTAGGGCAACTAACATGATCAAGGGTCTGGAGAACAAACCCTATGAGGAACAGCTTAAAGAGCTGGGCATGTTTAGCCTGAAGAAGAGAAGGCTGAGAGGAGACAGATTGAGGGCCATGTATAAAGATGTGAGGGGGAGTCATAGCCCTGGAGACTAGGATGCAAAACAATGACTTCAAATGACAGGAAAGGAGATTCCACCTGAACATTAGGAAGATCTTCCTGACTGTGAGAGCTGTTCAGCAGTGGAACTCTCTGCCCTGTAGTGTTATGGAGGCTCCTTCTTTGGAGGCTTTTAAGGAGAGGCTGGACGGCCAACAGTCAGGAGTGCTTTGAATGTGATTTTCCTGATTTTTGGCAGGATGTTGGACTGGATGTCCCATGAGGTCTCTTCCAACTCTATGATTCTATGGTCTTCAGCTTCTACCATCCTTGATGATTTACTGATGGGAATTGGGCATCTAACAACAAATCACACCCAAAGATTCTTCACCTCTGCTTAAAAGAAATTATTATTTTATTCAATTTTAATAGAGGCTTCTTTGAGGCTGGTCAGTTGCAGATTGAATCTGAAAAGTTGGGGGAAAGTTGAGTTAAATAAAGTGGTTAGTAAAAAGACATTGCTGGTTATATTAAAGATTCAGGCATGTATTTCTGTATTCCCTACCTTATTGCATGTTAAGTAAGGTGTGTGTTGATGCTAAATAGGTGTATTTTTTACTGAAGTTTTAAAATGAAGTTTGGCTCTGCATACACATTTATTTTAATTCCAATACTTACCATATATACTTGAGTAAAAACTGACCCGAATATAAGACAGGGCACCTAATTTTTCCACAAAAAAATTGGGAAAACCTATTGACTTGAGTAAAAACCAAGTGGTGGGAAATGCAGCAGCTACTGGTAACTTCAAAATAAAATTAGATACAAATAAAATTACATCAATTGAGGTATCAGTAGGTTCAATGATTTTGAATATTTACTTAAAACTATAATTTACGATAAGACTGTCCAACTCTGATTAAACCATTACTCTAACTAACCTTCTTCAATGTAAATGTGCTTACGTATCCATCCAATAATAGTAAAGAGAAAAAAATAATAAATGTAATTATTATTATTATTATTATTATTATTATTATTATTATTGCAAAGACTCTGGCGCAAGCCAGTAACAGTGGTCCCAGTGATGATCGGCACACTGGGTGCAATGCCTAAAGACCTTGGCCTGCACTTAAACACAAAATGAACACGTCAAGCTATTCTGGGACTTCCGGATCCAGACAGAAAGAGTTTTGGAGCACAACACTCCTGACCTCACAATCATGTTAAAAAAACAAAGTATGGATTGTCAATGTTGCAATCCCAGGTGACAGCAGGGTTGAAGAGAATAAAACTAGGAAAGGTGACACAATATGAGGATTTAAAGATTGAACTGCAAAGACTCTGGCACAAATTAGTAAAGGTGGTCCCAGTGGTGATTGGAACAGTGGGTGCAGTGCCTAAAGACCTTGACCTGCACTTAAACACAATCGGCGCTGTCAAAATTGCCATCTGCCAGTTGCAAAAGGCCACATTACTGGGATCTGCACGCATTATTTGCTGATACATAGTCCTAGACACTTGGGAAGTCTCCAATGTGTGATCGAATACAACAGCCAGCAGAGTGATCTTGTCTGCTGTGTTTATAATAATAATAATAATAATAATAATAATAATAATAATAATAATAATAATTTTAAAAAATCACACACTCCTAGACACTTGGGAAGTGTCCGATGTGTGATCCAATACAACAGCCAGCAGAGTGTCTGCTATGGACTCATCTTGTTGTATTTCAAATAATAATAATAGGGTAAAATAATGGAAATGTAATAATAACAGTAATAACAGAGTAAAATGATAAATGTAATAATAATAATAATAATAATAATAATAATAATAATAATAATAATAGAGTAAAATAATAAATAACTTTGATTCAGGTATAAGCCGAAATGGTTTTCGGCTTATACGCAAATATATACGGTAATGGACATGTCATAAGAAGACATCATGTTTAATACACAAGGGAGAGGAGCATCCAGCTTTCTTTAAACTATATTCTCAAAATAGGTTTCAAAATTCAACTTCTGCCATGTCTTTTGCCCTTCTAATGAAGATTACTTTCTTTTAATCTAGTAGCTGATCCTGTTTCTGGTGATACAAAGGACATTAATGAAGGTCTGTAAAGGTGTGCACTGTAGCCAGAAGCTGCTAGTGTGTAGGAGTGGGAAGCCAATCAGTTCGGCTAATCAGCTGATATTCTGTTAGTTCACTATGGTCAAGTATTGTCAGATATTCTGTGAGACTAAGAAGGGCATTTTGGACTACAACATTTTATTTGTTTATTTAATGTCCCTCCTTTCTTCTCAATGGTGTTATGCATTAACTTTTTTCCGTTAACGCCATGCATTTTTGGACAAGAGTGTAGTCATCTTTATAAATTCTTCCAAGAGACACTATTTCCATGATATTAGTTTGCTTCCTGTGCAACTGCTCTTAGAGGCTGGCCTTCATTTTTTTATAGTTGCTCTGCTTATTTCATTCTAACCCCAAAATTTATTTATTTATTTATTTATTTATAACACTTATATATCACCCTTCTCACCCCGAAGGGGACTCAGAGCAGCTTACAAGTTATATGTACATAAAATATATTATATTACATTATATTATATTATATTATTAGTATAGCACAATATTAGTATTATATGTTACTATACGGTACTATACCACTATACTGCTGTATTATTAGTAATATTCCATCTAATATATAATTATTAAATTATTGTATTGTATTATTTGTATTATATTGTATTATAATATTATGATAAATATTATATGTATATACAATATATTATATTATTGGCATAGCACAATATTAGTATTATATATTACTATATGGTACTATACCATTATACTGCAATATTATTAGTAATATTACATCTAATATATAATTATTACATTATTGTATTGTATTATTAGTATTATATTGTGTTATAATATTATGATCAATATTATATGTATATACAATATGTTATATTATTGGCATAGCACAATATTAGTATTTTATATTACTAAATTGTACTATAGCACTACACTGCAGTACATAATACATAATATACAATTATTTTATTTTTAAAGGGTCAGCAAAGCTGTTCACTTTAAATTTTAGTAACCTGGAGATACTAATATTAAAAAAAAAACAAAAAGAGGAGGAATACTATATAGTATCAATGTAACAAACTATTTTTCTTTCTTTTCCTCTTGTGATTAGAGTGAATCTAGAGTTTGCTGAACAATGAAAGTGTCCTTGCTACACCTTTCTGATTCTAAACTGATACTTCTAAAAATATTTGACAATATTTGAGCAACATTACAGAGATTTGTCTGTTTCAATTCCAGCCTTGCTTGTCTTGGAGAGAAGACCTGTACTTTATATTTGAGCACTTTTCTTATAAAGTAAGTGTAATCTTCAGGACCCCTGGTGACGCAGCAGGTTAAACCGCTGAGCAGCTGAACTTGCTGACCGAATCGGTGGTTTGAATCTGGGGAGTGGGGTGAGCTCCCGCTGTCAGCTCCAGCTTCTGCCAACCTATTTATTTATTTACTTATTTATTATATTTGTATACCGCCCTTCTCAGCCCTCAGGCAACTCAGGGCGGTTTACAGAGGCAATTATTCGATGCCCAAGAACATCAGCAAACATTTAAAACATTAATACATAGTATAAAACCAAACAAAAGTAATGAAAACATAAGCCATTTGCGCCTCCTAATTAAAAATGTTATCCATCTCGTCGTCCAGTCATTCTATTTCATCCAGTCGTCCTAGCAGTTCAAAAGCACGCAAGTGGGAGTAGATCAATAGGCAGCACTTCTGCGGGAAGGTAACATGCTGGCCACATGACCTTGGAAGTGTCTATGGACAACGCTGGCTCTTCGACTTAGAAATGGAGATGAGCACCACCCCTCAGAGTTGGACCCAACTAGACTTAATGTCTGCAGAAACCTTTACCTTTAATCTTCAGGGCTGTCTAGCCAAAGAAACGGGGAAACATCCAACTTTGTATATGCATTCTTTACATTTTGCCAATACTGAAGCACCATCATAATGTGATGTACACTTTGAAAAGGCTACATTATAAACAAGTATATTTCTACTACTTTATTTATTTATATATTTATTTACAACATTTATATGCCGCCCTTCTCACCCCAAAGGGGACTCAGAGCGGCTTACAAGATGTATTTTTATATGTTTATTTATTTCCTATATTTATACCCCGTCCTTCTCCTCCCAAAAGGGGACTCAGGGCGGCCTAACAAAAGCATCATATGATGCTAGCATCATAAAAACAACCACAGTACAATCAAAACATTAAAAATTAAAACAACCATTTACATTTATTTATTTATTTATTTGCAGTTTTTATATTCTGCCCTTCTCACCCCGCAGGGGACTCAGGGCGGATTACAGTATACACATATATGGCAAACATTCAATGCCAGTTTGACAGACAACGAATACCGACAATACACAGAGGCTATTTAACTTTTTTCTGGCCGCCAAGGGAGCTGCTGCTTTCATTGTCCATCAGCGACACTGATGAAGTTCTTCCGCATTCCACATTCCCCGGAGTTTTCTTTATGGCCTCATAAATTAGTTAATTTAGCCTCCCACACAAGGTGGTACCTTATTTTCCTACTTGACAGATGCAACTGTCTTTCGGGTTGCAAAGGTCGACAACAGACTACACAATGGCTGGACACCCACTCCAGCCTGGGCTGGCTTCGAACTCATGACTTTTTGGTCAGAGTGATCTTAATGCAGCTGACACTCAGCCAGCTGCGCCACACTCCCTGCGCCACAATCAATTAATTAAACAATTAATTGAGACACATCCATTAAAATCAAAATCCAAAAACCAGTCCGGGTTTATTCATTGTCATAAGTTGTGTGATCTTCTTCCACTTGCTGCTCACTGATCAAACGCTTGGTCCCATAACCAGGTCTTGATTTTCCTTCCAAAAGACAAGAGGGAGGTGGCCAATCTGATATCTCTAGGGAGGGCGTTCCATAGGCGGGGGGCCACTGCTGAGAAGGCCCTTTCTCTCATCCCCATCAACCGTGTTTGTGATAGTGGTGGGATCGAGAGCAGGGCCTCTCCTGAAGATCTTAAACTTAGTAATGGTTCTTGGCAGGAGATACGTTCGGACAGGTAGTTTGGGCCAGAACCGTTTAGGACTTTAAAGGTTAAAGCCAGCACTTTGAATTGTGCTCAGAAGCTGGTCGGTAGCCAGTGGAGTTGGTGTAACAAAGGAGTTTTATGTTCCCTGTACGTCGCTCCAGTGAGCAACCTGGCTGCCGACAGTTGGATTAGTTGAAGCTTCCAGGCAGTCTTCAAAGGCAGCCCCACGTAGGGCACATTGCAGTAGTCTATTCGGGATGTAACAAGAGCATGGACCACCGTGGCCATGTCAGACATCTCAAGGTACGGGCGCAGCTGGCGCACAAGCTCCCGCCGAGACCTGGGCTTCCAGCCTCAGCGATGAGTCCAGGATCACTCCCAAACTCCCAAATAATATTATATTATTAGCATAGTACAATATCAGTATTAAATATTACTATATTGTACTATACCATTATATTGTAATATTATTAGTAATATTACATGTAGTATAAATATATAATTATAATATATTATTAGTATTATATTGAATTACATTATAATATAAATATTATATGTATATACAGTATATTATATTATTTGACATTATATGATATTATTAGAAGAGCACAGGAGACAAGATGGAACGGTCCCCTGCCCCTGCCCCCCCCCCCTTCACTCTGGCCCAGATATTATATCAATTCTCTGACTGAGTTATAGCTTGATTATGATTCAGAGCCTAAAATAAATCTGTTTTTTGGCTATAAATCCCACATGATTATTGGCTGGAGGATCACATAAGTTGCAAATCGTACAAGCTTTCCGATCATTGCTACTCTTAATGTTGTCACCAGGGAAGTAGCACTCCTATTTGAATAGGGTCTGTCCGAAGATTACAGTTATTTTTATGGTATGAATTTTAGATGTAGCAGCAAACAGTTTTAGCACTTCTGTTATTTTTTAAATCTAACAGCTTTTATTATTCTTGCACTTAAAAAAAAAAAAAAAGATTGGAACTGGCACACAAGGTCCGGAGAGTCATCAAAGCATCAATGTGCAGCGGTAACTGTTTGAACTCTCTCTGCATTCAGCTCCTCCGGTTCCTTCCGAAGAAATGGATAAGCACCGTCGCAGATTCAACATGAGGATGTTGGTGCCCGGGAGACCAGTGAAAGACAGCGTCGTCCCTCCCCCTGTCCCCGCAGAAAGACCGTCGTACAAAGAAAAATTCATCCCCCCAGAACTCAGCATGTTAGACTACTTTGTCGCAAAGGTAGATTCTTCTGAGTATCATAAACTTGTCCATTTTGGTCATTAAAATAAGGGTAGGGAACGCATAGCACATCAGTGTTGCTAGACTATTTTTGCTAACTCTATAGCTTACAGTAGTCGGAATCGTAACACCATTTGGAAAGCCACAGACCCCTCCTTCTTTTCCAATATGGTTATGCGATGCTGTGAGTTTTCTGGGTTGTATGACCGTGTTCCAGAAGCATTCTCTCCTGACATTTCACCCACATCTATGGCAGGCATCCTCAGAGACTGTGAGGTCTGTTGGAAACTAGGCAAGTGAGATTTATATATCTGTGGAATGTCCAGGGTGGGAGAAAGAACTCTTGTCTGCTAGAGGCAAGTGTGAATGTTGCAATTGGCCACCTTGATTAGCATTGTATAGCCTTGCAGCTTCAAAGCCTAGCTTCTTTCCTGCCTTGGGGCATCATTTGTTGGGAGGTGGCCCTGATTGATTTAATATGTAGCCAGATTTTGTTCATTTTATGGTTTCCTCCAAATTTTCTCCAAAATGGACATCCCAGGGTTCCTTTCTCTCTCCAAATTTGTTTTAGCCTTGTGGACATTTCCATTTTGCCATGCAAGATTTGAGTCATAGTTGGATGTAGATCCCATGTCATCTTTCTCACATCTATAAACATAATAAAAGTGAAACTGTATGTGGGGGGGGGGGGGGAATTCATGGTTTCCCCCTTTTCTGTTGAAATTGTCCACATGCTTGTGGATTTCAGTGGCTTCTCTTTGTAGTCTGATATGGTGGTTGTCAGGATGGTCCAGCATTTCTGTGTTCTCAAGTACTGTGCTGTGTCTAGGTTGGTTCATCAGGTGCTCAGCTATGGCTGACTTCTAAAGTTGAATTAAAGAGCAGCACTAAAAAACAGGGAAATTCCTGACAAGAATCAATCAGGGCCAACTAACAACTCCCAACAAAGGATTTCCCCAGGCAGCAATCAGCGAGGCTACGAAGCTGCAAGACCATAAAATGCTAATTGTTGAGGCATCGAATTGTTGCCAATTTGTGAAGCGCTCCGAGTCATCTCTGGATTGAGAGGGGCGGTATATAAATATAGTAAATAAATAAATATTTAAATTAAGGTAGCCAATTGCAACATTCACATTTGCCTTAAACTGACAAGAGTTCTTTCTCCCACCCTGGACATTCCATAGATATATTAATTTCCCTTGCTTTGTTTCCAACCGACCTCTCAAACTCTGACGATGCCTGCCATAGATGTGGATGAAATGTCAGGAGAGAATGCTTCTGGAACATGGCCATACAGTCTGGAAAACTCACAGCAACACAGTATATGCATTGTTGTGTATATTATATGTAAAGATATACCACTTTTTTAAAAGACAGGGCTGGTTACAGTTGCTTCGTTAACTTGAAGTCGAGGAAACGACTCCATCTCCTTCCAGTAAAAGATTCCTATGTGTTGTTTTTTTACTTGTGTGAAATACAATAACTTGTAAAACAGATGATCTGGAAAAGCCTATTTTGATATCTCATTTTGTCCTCTCTTTACAGCCATTCCTTCCTTTTTCAGACAGTGGTGTGATATATGATTCTGATGAAAGCATCCATAGTGAAGATGAGGATGATGATGCTTTCCTTTCTGATACGCAGATCCTGGAACACAAGGATGCCAACTCTTACAGGTAGCACACGACAAAAGCAGAACTGCAATGATAGAGAGGCATTCTGTCGTTGCAGCTTCTTTCCAATGAAGAGTCTCTTTGACTGTCCTTTTAATGTACTCTATACTTTTGCATCCCATTGTTTACCCATCTTGCAATTCGAAGCAACATTTGTAGGATATCCAAGTGTATACGTTCCAGTAAATGCAGTTTGTGAACCTCAGTAAAATGAGCTGGGAATTACATCATTGAACATAGTGAATCTTTGGGATGAATAACCTTAGGATCAGAAAGTAAATGTTCCACGAGGTTTATGGCGGAATATGATTATTTTGTAGGCCAGCGATCTGTTTTGGTCTCGCACCGTATCAAAAGGAGAAACCTGTGATGCTTGTAAGCTGGAGTACTGAGAGGGTTTGATAGCACTTTAAGTGCCAAGACCTGGGAGTTGCAGTTTTACAAGGTCTTTCAACTGTCTGCCAAAGAAAGATGTGCCTCACCAAACTACAACTCCCAGTATTTGATAGCAATGAGCCATGACAATTAAAATGAGAATTAATATGTAGATGCATCCATTTTTGTAATTTGATTTTTCTTTTCATTACTGAGATGAATAAAAAATTAAATGACAAAGGCCTTGGCCTTTGTAAGCCGCATCGAGTCCTTCGGGAGATTTTGCGGGGTATAAATAAAGTTAATAATAATAATAATAATAATAATAATAATAATAATCAAGGGTCTGGAGAACAAGCCCAATGAGGAGTGGTTTAAAGAGCTGGGCATGTTTAGCCTGCAAAAGAGAAGGTTGAGAGGAGATATGATGAGGGCCAGGGATCAAGATGTGAGGGGAAGTCATAGGACTGAAGATTGACAGGTCGCAGGTTCGAATCCAGGGAGAGGCGGATGAGCTCCCTCTATCAGCTCCAGCTCCCCACGCGGGGACATGAGAGAAGCCTCCCACAAGGATGACAAAACATCAAATCATCCGGGCGTCCCCAGGGCAGCGTCCTTGCAGACGGCCAATTCTCTCACAGCAGAAGCAACTTGCAGTTTCTCAGGTCGCTCCTGACACGACAAAAAATTTAAAAAAATAGGGAGGAAGGAGAAAATTTGTTTTCTGCTTTCCTGGAGAATAGGACGTGGAATAATGGATTCAAACTACGGAAAAGGAGATTCCATCCGAACATTAGGAAGAACTTTGATTTATGTTTGTATTAATTCTGTTGTGGCTTTACATTATATATTAAAGTTTTTAATTATATTTATGGTATTGTGAGCATTGAAATGTTGCCTTGTAAACCGCCTTGAGTCACCTGCGGGCTGAGGAAGGCGGTATACAAATACAGTAAATAAATAAATGAAATAAACTTCCTAACTGTGAGAGCTGTTCAGCAGTGGAACTCTCTGCCCCAGAGTGTGGTGAAGGCTCCTTTTTTGGAGGCTTTTAAGCAGAGGCTGGATGGCCATCTGTTGGGGGTGCTTTGTATGCGATTTTCCTGCTTCTTGGCAGAATGGGGTTGGACTGGATGGCCCACGAGGTTTCTTCCAACTCTAGGATTCTATGTTGAATATATGCATCTTTTAAACCCTTATTGCTTTGCTAATTTAGGATGCAACCCTATGAATTTCTTCTGCTAGTAAAGTACTAAATCAAAGGCACTTCCCTTGGATGAAACATGTGTAGAAGTTGACTTTTGGTTACTAATTTGTCAATAATTTACTTTTGCCTAATTCAGCTTTAATAATTGTGGTTGGGGTCATTGGACTAAAAGAGAATTAATGTATAATTTTGCATTTGTTCTGCGCTCTATAAGACTTCTGTCTTTTCCACAGCTGGGCGCTTATCCATTTGGCGATGGTAAAACTTACTTTGCAAAATGTGAAGACCTTTTTCCCCATTGCTGGTTTAGAAATATCTGGTGAGTGGGCCTTCACTTTTTACAGCTTTCTGTATGAAGGGACAAACCCTGAGAATGAGCTAGGCAATGTATTCCAGTGCTCAAAAACAAGTCTTACTTAATGAAATGGGGTTGTTAGAAATATACTGTATATACTCAAGTATAAGCCTAGTTTTTCAGCCCTTTTTTTAGGCTGAAAAAGTCCCCCTTGGCTTATACTCGAGTCAAGGTTATTTATTATTTTACTCTGTTATTATTATTATTATTATTATTATTATTACTATCATTTCATTTATTATTATTACATTTATTTTACTCTATTGTTGTACATTTGTTATTTTACTGTATAATTGTTGTTATTGCTACATTCATTATTTTACTCTTTTTATTATTATTGTTATTATTACATTTGTTATGTTGCTCTCTTTATTATTATTGGAAGGATATGTAACTAAGCACATTTACATTGAAGAAGATAAATAATAATTTAATCAGAGTTGGACAGTCTTATGTTAAATTACCATTTTTGTAAACATTCAAAAATATATAACCTACTGATTCCTCAATTAATGTAATTTAATTGGTATCTATTTTTATTTTGCAATTTACCAGTAGCTGCTGCATTTCCCACCCTCGGCTTATATTCAAGTCAATCCATTTCCCCAGTTTTTTGTGCTAAAATTAGGTGCCTCAGCTTATATTCGGGTCGGCTTATACTCAAGTATATACGGTAGTTTAGCATACCACCTTTTTTCCATAAATGGCACCCAAGGCTTCTGATTTAATTGTAACAGGATTAATTCAGTTGCAAAACAAAAACACCAAACATCAAGAAGAGAAATCGGCACAGTATTGAGCTGACAGGTATCTCCGAATGCAACATTTATGGAGTTAGTGTTGGATAGATGGAACCTGAATGCTAAACCAAAACGAGAATCATGTAGAAAACTGAAACAAAACAATATGCATAAGTTAAACACCAAAGCCTAAGTAAGCAGGTTCATTTTTCCCAGGGCTTTAAATAAGATTAAAAAAAGGAATTAACCCGGTCTTTCATAGGATTAAGTCCCCAAATTTTGTCTGTGATGCTAATAAAAACCTTTTATTCTGCAGACAAAAAGCCTCTCAGTAAACAGTAGCCTTGTGCATTTGTATAGAATCACTATCCATTTCTGTTTGTTTTATTCGTAAGGCCCCACTTTTGTTTTTGAGCACATCTCCCAAAAATGGGCACCTTTCTAAGTGAGATTTTTCATCCCAGGCCCAAAAAAATAAATATTTTGTCCCATTGGCAGAAATACGAGGGATATTTTTTAAGTAAGGTCCGTTTGAACATAAGTACACAACGAAAGTTTATTTCAAAAAAGTAAATTTATTTTCAGAAAGTACATACTTCACTCTATTTTTCGACATAGTTGCCAAGTTTTTTCAAACACTTATCATACCTCTGAACCAATTTTAAAATACCCTCTTCACGAATCCTCGCTTCAACTGAAGCCACCAAATCGTCTGTAATCAAAGAAGGGCAACCGGAGCGGTCCGCATCATGGACGTTGTCACGGCCATCTTTGAATTGTCGTACCCACTGACGCACTTTGCTTTCACTCATAACAGTATCGCCATACACTTCACAAATCTGTCGATGAATTTCTGCAGCAGGCAGGTTCCTTGCTGACAAAAACCGTATCACTGAGCGAACCTCACATGCGGAGGGTGAGTTGAGAGTCTTAAACATTTTTAAAGCACAGAACAGAACCGTACAGGTGAGCTACAGAGCGGAAACTGAGCACAGTTGTTCCCGAGGCATGCCGGTACACGACGAACGCGCTTGTTGCGGTATGCACGCAACTTACTACTGTCTACAACAAAACAGACCTTACTTAAAAAATACCCCTCATAGATGGCCTTCCCACACTCCCCTTCCTTTCAGTTTTAAACACTGGCAGGTGTGGGTGCTTTCTGGGCCTGCACGCCACATGAGTTTGTTTCGGGGGGGGGGGGGCTGAGTCTGAGTGAAAGAGGGTCTAGCCTAGCAAACCTTTTGTATCGTTACCCCAATACCCCCATGCATATGGGGATATATTGAGTATGGTGATCAGATCATGATATGAATAAACATAACAGTTTAAATAATGCACCAGTAAGGCCTTTTCGGAAACCACCATGAGAATTTCGGGGGGGGGGCTGAAGCCCCTCAAGCCCCACCCCACCCCGGCTACATGCCTGCCACACACACACTCTCCTTGGAAAGAGAGTGCATGTGTGGCTTGCAGGTCCAAAGCGCCCTTACATGCCAGGGCCTGCAGCTGAGTAACAGGCACTCGGTGTTCCATGGGCACTTTGGGTGTGCAAGCCACACACGCACTCTTCTTGGAAAGAGAGTGCATGTGTGGCTTCCAGGCCCAAAGCGCTCGCGCTTGGCAGGGCCTGCATCCAAGTGTCAAAAATCAGGTGACCAAATGGTTAATGTTCCCACTTTCCTTTCATTTCACTGATATCTCCGTACCAGAGGGGTGTGTACCGTTTTGTGCCATCCAAATGAACAAACAGTACGAAAACACGAATTAAACAGCTGAAAAAGTTACCAGGCCCATGACTAGTAAACAGTAGAAAAATTTATCTCTTCTTTTTGTTCCCAGTGTGCTGCAAACAACTTTAGGACATACTCCAAGCCATGCCTGACTTTTTGGTCTGTTTATTCGTAACTTCTTTGTCCCAACCTTTAAGAAAAGACACCCAGCGCTTGGACGTATGCTTACAATGCCCGAATCCCTCAGCCAATATGGCCTTGAAGGAATCTGGGTATTGTAGATACCTAGAGGAAGTATTCCAAGCTTTGCAACGGTCGCCGTACTCCTCTACATCTCTAGATGGAAATGAAGTTTTTGTGATGTGCGCAAGCCATCCTATAAAGCCTTGTACACTTCAGGTCCAACCAATTTTCATTACCGCATCTGCTACTATGAACCGGCGCGGGTTCTGAGATCTGCCAGGGAGACCCTTTTCTCGGTCCCACCACCGTCTCAAACATGGTTGGGGACGAGAGAGAGGGCCTTCTTGGTGGTGACCCCTCGGCTCTGGAATGCCCTCCCTAGAGAGATTAGGTTAGCCCTATTTCTTGAAGCTTTCCTGATCCAGTCTAAAAGCCTTTGATCTTGAGTAGATTTTAAGGGTTAGTCTAAGGACTTGGCAGCAACATTTTGGCACTGGGTTTGTTGTTCAACTAGTTTTATCCGCAGTTACAACTGCGTTTTATGAATTCAGAATTTTAATTTTATTATGTGATATTTTATTGATATCTGCTTATGTTTTTGTTGCTTTTATGTCTTTGAAATTGTTTTTATTGTATGTGTGGCACTTTGGAGTGCTTTGTTAGCCACCCAAGTCCCTTTGGGGAGATGGTGATGGGGTACAAATAAAGTATTATTATTATTATTATTATTATTATTATTATTATTATTATTATATTCTATAGTTATTAAGACCCATTCCTCCACAGAAGTGCCATGAGCACACAGAGTGTAACAATGGCTTGGGAAAGAATTGCACAGAGCTTTTGTTTTGCCTCAAGGGAATGTTTTATTGTTAGTACATACTGTGTTACATGAATGGAGGCTGAACTTTTGGTTGCTGATTTAGAGCTTCCTGTTACATCGCCATTGGGCATTGCGGTGATCAAGAATCTGGAGAATTGGGAGCAGTTCCTGCAAGAAAGAATGGACCAGTTTGAAGGCCCACCACCAAATTACATCAATACCTGTTTCCCTGAATCTGGAATGGGAAGTGGAGCTGCTGCTGCCCGAATAAAAGCAATGGTGGACCCTGAAAACACACCATTCAAGTATGAAGGGTTTGGGGTTTTTTTCAAAAAAGAAATAATACTCTATGTTTTTATCTAAAGGGATCACTGTTATTTAAAAACAGTGAACATTATTTTGGTTATTAAGAACACTGTTAATACACAAATTACTTTACATTGACAATAACTCCTTAATTGCCTTTTATTTTTCTTGTTTTTCAATAATGTGGCCAGTAGGCTTGGTTGATTAAAAAAAATGGTTCGTAAGTAGTTTCGGATGTAGGGGGTTCGATTCGAAAGTCAATTCCGATTTTCACAGAAAAAAAAATTCAAAACTTTTTGAAATTTCCAAGATTTCTGAATCTTTTCGTTAATGGTTTGAAAATGTTATTTCCTGTTTCATTGGGTGGTCTTTACTTTGAAAGTAGTTGTTTTACTCCAGAAGCGGGAAAAATCAAGCGGAAGAAATTCTTTCCTTCACTAGTTTCAGATGTAAGGGGTTCGATTCGAAAGTCAATTCCGATTTTCACAGAAAAAAAATTCAAAACTTTTCGAAATTTCTAAGACTTCTGAATCCTTTCGTTAATGGTTTGAAAGTGTTATTTCCTGTTTCATTGGGTGGTCTTTACTTTGAAAGTAGCTGTTTTACTCCAGAAGCAGGGAAAAGCAAGCGGAGGAAATTCCTTCCTTCTCTGGTTTAAAACTGGCTTCCCTGGCTTTAAAACTGGCTTGTCTGGCTTGAACCAAGGCCAGGAAATTCCTTCCTTCTCTGGTTTAAAACTGGCTTCCCTGGCTTTAAAACTGGCTTCTCTGGCTTGAACCAAGGCCAGGAAATTCCTTCCTTCTCTGGTTTAAAACTGGCTTCTCTGGCTTTAAAACTGGTTTCTCTGGTTTGAGCCGAGGTCAGGAAATTCCTTCCTTCTCTGGTTTAAAACTGGCTTCTCTGGCTTTAAAACTGGCTTCTCTGGCTTGAGCCGAGGTCAGGAAATTCCTTCCTTCTTATTTATTTATTTATTTATTTATTTATTTATTTACTATTCTTGTATACCGCTGTATCTCAAGCCCGAGGGCGACTCACAGCGGTTTCCAAACAGCAAAGACAATAAAAGCAGCAATAATTAATATACAATGACAGTTAAATTACACATTCCATTAATAGCTAATAAGCCAGGAAATTCCTTCCTTCTCTGGTTTAAAACTGGCTCCTCTGGCTTGAGCCGAGGCCAGGGGACCAAAAGCAGGGAAAAGCTGAATCATTTCCTACTCACTTCCTGAGTCGTAACAAAAATGGCGGAAAAACTTCGGAATGGCAAAGGGACTTCCAGTTTTTAAAAAAGCTTCGGTATCGCTTCAAAAAGGTAATTTTAATGAAACGAGTTATCTGACGCGACTCTATCCATGCCTAGTGACCAGTCTAAAAATTCCATTCCCAACCAATACTATTTATCACTACTTCACTTAACAGCAATTCATTATGCTTCTGGTTAATAAAACTGTATGAACAGAACTGAATGTGATCCTATTCTTAAAAACATTTATGAAATCTGGTAATGGATAGTTAAATGTATGCTTCGTTCAGCAGTGTGGTGCATCGAAGTGTTGTGTGGGCTGTAAGGACCAAATCAAAGATATTCTTTGTTTGCAAGACTCTTTGTAGTTCGGTTCTAGGAATACCCCTTGAATTCTGCACAGCTTCTGAACTTATTGTATACACTTTGATGCATTGTGTACATATAACATTTTCGTGTTATATGTGTGCCTTGCATGACCCTGTTGCTTTTCTTGCATGTTCGAGTGAGGAATATTACAATAATGCCATTTTCTCCCCCTCTTCCTTTGTTTAGATCAAAAGATTATTCAGCACTGCCTGCAAAGAGACTCTGGCATTTTCTGGTGAAGCAGGAATTGCTACAAGATACTTTCATCCGATATACATTTACAAAGAAGAGGAAGCAAAGTGAGGTATACAAAAGGCAGCATTGATTGAGATTCCTTCTGTCTTGAAATGGCTTTTTCTTTTTGGTGCTTTTTATAGTGTTTCTTCCTACTGTATTTTGGTTTAACAATGTGTTACGTTATTTCAGCCTTCCCCACTGTGTATTTTGAGCCGCAACTTCTATCAACCACAAACAGAATAGCCAAATGTCAGTGTGTGAGGGCAACTCGAAAAATATAATATTAATTTTACAATATAGTTTAGAATTAGAATCCGTCCTCACATGTCGTCCTTTGCTGCGCTTGGTCTATTTAAGTATTTCTATTCATCTATAAGACCTTGCTTTCAAAACAATCCAAGTGCCCAGCCCTAAAATAAAGAGATAATGCATTAATTATTGTTAGTTGGCATAAGAGGGGGTCCGTTTAAGTTCGGAATGTTTTCATTCATTTTTTTATATATTTGTTTGTGCATGTGTTTTGTGTTTGTGGCCCTGTGGTGTGGTGTAGTCTGTAGAAGTCCGTGCGGAGCAGGTCACACAAAACAGCCTAGCAGAAGACAAAAACAAGGTAGTATCCTGTCTCCCAAATCTTTCAGTAACTTAAAGAAATTACTATCGGGCTGTCTTTCCTTTTTCTCGCTTGCTAAAGAGAAAATAATATGCTCTGTGCAACCTTTCTGGCAAATACTTGATTTTTCTGTTAACACAATGAACACTATAGCTGGGAACGCACTGACACATTAGAACATGCACTTGTTGTACACTGATTTGTGTGCTAGGCTTTCAGAAGTACAACGGTACAAAAGTACGAGGGTTGAATGAAAAGTAATGCATCCACCTTCGTAACTCCTCAACAGATGGCAGTACTGGTATGTGGCAGGTACTGGATTGTTCAGTAGACTCTCCTCTACATTCCCATTTTGGCAGGAAGCCTTAGCATTGAATGGTTGTGCTGTTAAAGGGCGAACTATGAAACCCTGTGCAGATGGTTGGTCAATGTGACTTAAGCAACGTGCAGTCATTGAATTCTTGACAGCAGAAGGTGTCACCCCAAAGTAGATTCCTCAGAGAATGCAAGCTGTTTATTGTGGTTGTGTTGATGTGAGTACTATGCATCGTTGGGTGAGTAAAGATGTTGAGGTGACACCTGTCAAGAATTCAATGACTGCACGTTGCTTAAGTTGCATTGACTGACCGTCTGCGCAGGGCTCCATACTTCGCACTTTAACGACACAACCGTTCAATGCTAAGGCTTCCTGCCAAAATGGAACTGTAGAGGAGAGGCTACTGAACAACCCAGCACCTGCCGCATACCAGTACTGACATCTGTTGAGGAGTTACGAATGTGGAGGCATTACTTTTCATTCAACCCTCGTACTTTCTGGAAGAATGCCATACCTACTAAACTTCTTTTTGCTTGCTTCTTTGTATCATTTTCCATTTATTCATACCTCTCTAAATAGTTGAAGGCAGTCATTCAATGTATGTTGTGTTAATGTTTTTTTAGGTCGAAGCAGAGCTTGGCTATCCTGGAGGAAGAGCAAAAATAATTCATAAAGAATCTGATATGATAATGGCTTTTGCTGTTAATAAGGTAAGGCCCCTGCGGTGTTCTGGACTATTGTACGAGTGTTGTTACGTTTATATACAAGTGTCGACTTCTTCCGTGACAGCTTCAGAAAACTTGTTCATTGTTGGCAGAAATGTATCCAACTGTCTGGTGATTATGTGGAAAAGTGAATAGTGGTAGTTAAAGAGCACATTCTCAGGATTATTTCTGTGTTTGATTTATTAAAATATTCCCATCCAAACCCAAGTAACGAAGGTGGAGGCATTACTTTTCATTCAACCGTCGTATTTGTATTGTGAGTATTATGCAAGATAAAGTGCATAATAGGAGCCCAAGGTGGCACAGCGGGTTAAACCACTGAGCTACTGAATTTGCTGACTGAAAGGTTGGTAGTTTGAATCCAGGAAAGGGGGGGGTGAGCTCCTGCTGTTAGGCCCAGCTTCTGCCAAGCTAGCAGTTTGAAAACATACAAATGTGAGTACTGCTCCAGCGGGAAGGTAACGGCACTCCGTGCAGTCATGCTGGCCACATGACCTTGGAGGTGTCTAGGGGCAATGTCTGCTCTTTGGCTTAGAAATGTCCCCAGAGTTGGACATGACTAGACTTAATGTCAAGGGGAAATCTTTACCTTGAAAGTTCACAGTGTGTTGGGAAAAAGAGAAAATGAAATCTTGGAGTTAACTGGCTGAGAAATTCAACAGCATTGTTAACAGCTTGATGTGTATGGAATAGGAATTAGAATAATACAGTAGATATTGACAAAGAAGAATGGAGTAAGGTATGAGACTGAAGGGAAAGAGTTTGCATTCTGGGTCACTTAACTGGTAGAGTCAGAGAATCCTAGAGTTGAAAGAGACCTCATGGGCCATCCAGTCCAACCCCATTCTGCAAAGAAGCAGGAAAATTGCATTCAAAGCACCTCCAACAGATGGCCATCCAGCCTCTGTTTAAATGCTTCCATAGAAGGAACCTCTACCACACTCTGTGGCAGAGAGTTCCACTGCTGAACAGCTCTCACCATCAGGAAGTTCTTCCTAATGTTCAAATGGAATCTCCTTTCTTGTAGTTTGAATCCATTGTTCCATTGCGTCCTATTCTCCAGGGCAGCAGAAAACAAGCTTGCTCCCTCTTCCTTATTAAATTCCATTCACATATTTATGCATGGCTATCATGTCTCCTCTCAGCCTTCTGTTCTTCAGGCTAAACATGCCCACCTCCTCGTAGGGCTTGTTCTCCAGACCCTTGATCATTTTAGTCATCCTCCTTCCAGCTTGTCAATATCTCTCTTCAATTGTGGTGCCCAGAATTGGACACAATATTCCAGATGTGCTCTAACCAAGGCAGAATAGAGGGGGAACATCACTTTCCTGGATCTAGACACTAGACTACTATAGATGCAGGCCGAAATCCCATTGGCTTTTTTTGCCACTGCATCACATTGTTGGCTCAGTAGGTCCTGGGATAAATGAAATTCCCACCAGTTCCTCCTTTACATTTAAAGTTACATCAAGTAACATTTTACTGGTCTTTTACCTAAAATAGATAGATAGATAGATAGATAGATAGATAGATAGATAGATAGTTCTGGTACGGCCTTACCAGGAGCTCCAACTCTATTTGCTTTGTATTAAATGTTTGTTTGCAGTCCTAGGTTTCAGGGACTCTGCAGATAGGTGGCTTCCTTTGGTTGCAGTCATAGGGCAAGTCACCTGTCCATCATCGTTAAGTTTTGGTCCCGCCCTTGCTCAGGGCAATTGGGAAGGGAGCCATTTTTTAGTTAGTCTCAGCAAGGAAAGCTAATGTATAGGACGTGTGCAAGCTTCCCCTGTACAAAAGCTTTGACCTTTAAGAATTTCCAGGAAAACAGCTCTAAAGACCAAAGAACTCCAGCTGGAGAACATCTAAGCCATTACTGGTAGGTCCACTCGGCGTTCGAGAAGCAGTTCGACCCGGTAGCGGAGCCCACATCAGTAAGGGTTAGATTACAGTCAGCCTGGGAGAAGTTAAAAAGGGGATTTTCCTTTAAAGAGGAAGTTAATGAAGACAGTTGCCTGTCCTTCGTGGGCAAGATTAGGAATTCACCAGTTGCCTAAAAGCTTGGAATCAGTTGCTTAACTTTACTGAAGACAAGAGAAGTTTCTGTTTGATTGTTCATTAATAAAAGACTTTGTTGTACTTCACAAGCCATCTAAAGACTATTTGTGGTGGAAAATCCCTAAGAGCTTCTCTTTGGGGCCCCTGGCTTCCCGCTGGGCAAAGGTTGCATGTCCTGTTCTAAAGGAAATTCTTCACAGGCCCGGCGCGCGACAGAACATAGATAGATAGATAGATAGATAGATAGATAGATAGATAGATAGATGACATGACTGGTCTCAGGGTTTAAGGTGTCACTTTTGTCTTTGTACTTTGCAGGCAAACATCAATGAAATAGTTTTAGCTTCGACACACGACGTACAAGAACTTGATGTCTCTACTCTCTTGGCTGCACAGTCATATATATGGATTGGAGAAGAGTATGACAGAGAATCGAAAAGGTTAGATGGTCATCTGCTTTGAATATAATTCCTAACTGGCAGTTTACATGCAGAATAACTCAAGAACCAACACTATCAGTGTTTAAATGTGTTCAGTTCACTACAACTGAAAAATAGATGCATTCTCATTGTTACCAATGTCACCCCAATGCCTGATGACAAGTTAACTTCTAAAATGACCGCCAGAGATGAAGAATTACAATGCTCTATGTTTGCTTTTACAGTTCAGATGATGTTGACTTTCGTGGTTCCACTACAACACTCACCCAGTCGAGCACAGCCTCCTTTGCGGTGGCTCAAATGCAGCCGACGTCTTCAGTGACATCATCGATGCCGTGGTTGG